TTTCAGTCTGTGACTCCCTCTCTCTCTGACCCTCCCCTGCTCACGCTGTCTCTCTCTCTCTCTCTCTCTCTCCTAGAAATAAATAAAAAAAAATTAAAAAAAAAAAAAAAGAAAATGGTGTCTCTGGTCTCCCCCAAATTTGAGATACTTCCAGTCATCGTCTGTGGGAAATAGGTTCAAGAATTCCTTACACTTATGGGTTAAAAAAAGCTTAGGGCAGAAAGCTGTTGCCACAGGACAAAAGCACCCAAGGTTTCTTAGTGAGATATTATAATTGGGTCATGAGTCCCTTGTTATATCACCTGCAGGAAACTATTTTCCATCTGGCCCCAATATACTTTGATCACAACTTCAAATTCTGCTTGCCCCGCCCCCCGACTCTTTGCTTCTTACACACACAAGTTAATGATTACTCTATGATTGTTTTCTTCGTGTTTACCATGTGTGTAAGATCTTGAGAGCTCAATAAATATGGAGACAAAATCCCTGTTCGGGGCTCTTGTCTCCTCCCAGACATTATCCTCTCTTGTATTCAACCCTGTGTCCTCTCTCTTGCTGGACAAGAGAGAACTCCAGACCCATAGTCTGCAACAATAGTCTTGCTCATCCATAATACATTCAGGCACTACTGGAATGGGTTTTTTCCAGCACTAATAAACAACAAAGTTTGAAATGAAAAAGGCCTCTTATGTGCTGTGAACCTCTTATCCCAAACTTCCCTGAGAACTAGTACAGCCAGACAAAGTGCTACTGCTTGTAACTGCTTATCTTAGAACCTTAGTCCATTTAGCCTATTTGACAGGACACCAAGGGGAACCCCAGTAAGTGTACCCTCTAAATGGCAGAAACCAGAGAGAATATTCTCACTGATCACAAAGCCAAGCTTTTGGGACACAGAACAAGATGAAAGAAAACACATCATCTGTTTTCACATAGGGGACTTACAGCAAACCTGTCTAAATAGTCTGATGAGAACTGTGAACTTACCATTCTGTGAGACTGGATTGAACATCAGTTTTTTAGGTCTGGCCCTATATACCTGTGTTTTTTCCCCTATGGTAATTCCTTTTTATAATAAATACACAAAAGACAAAATGGTAACCATATTTGGGGGAAAATGGATAAGTCAAACCAAGAGTACTCTACCAAATATTCCAGAGTCACTAAGCCCAAGGAACTATTTCCACAAGTATTTTCTCTTGCTGATCTAAATTCAGTAAGTGAGAGAAAAAGGACTCTCACCACTCTTGCTTCCATTAGATCCATAGGCTGACATGGTAAGCATTCTAACCTTCTGCTGTACATTTGTCAGAACTCCCAGAATCTCTCAGCCACAAGGGTACCCAGCCAGTTAAAGTCTATCCTTCTGACTATGCCAACAGTGGTGCACAGAATGTTTCCTTTACCATTCAAGTTTCTTCTAGCTGACCTGAAAATCAAATTGACACAAGATAAATTAACAGGAGGAAAGAAATCCCCAATTTTAACTACATGCACCTAGAGGCCCAATATTAAAGATGAGACCCAAAGAAATGATCAGGGCAGGGAGCATGTATACTTTTTAGACAAAAAAACAATAAATCCATGAAGAATTGACAAGGCAAAGAAAACTTTTGTTCAGGCAATTCAATTGATAATGAAATCTAAACTCAGTTTGGGCTGGATTAATAAATTAGTGAAAATAATAAGGCTTATTTATACAGACTTCTTAGCTTTGAATACTCTATCTCTAGAGATAAGAATGTCTATTTCTCTCTACATCCTGTACAGGTAGGGTACATTTCCCATGGGAGCTTTATTTCCTACTTTCTGGAGACAAAGGAGGCACAGGATATTTTTGCACTGACTATTTCTTGAGTAAGTTTAATTTAAAATAATCAATATGCTACTTTTAAAGAAAATTTTAAGTAGACTCTACACCCAAAGTGGGGCTTGAACTCATGATACCAAGAACAAGAATTGCATGTTCCACTGACTGAGCCATCCAATTTTCCCATCAATGTGGTACATTTTAGGTGCCCTGCCCTTGCCCCCCCCAAGCATTTATGTAGGTTAAAATGTGGAATTATCGAGATTCCTTGGGCCTGCATTGTCCCCTCCTTTGTCCTGGCCACTCTTGACACTGTCTCAGGCTAAAGTAATATGTAATAAAGTAATAATGCCTGCACTTGTGCAGTACACACACCATGAGCCAACCGTGGCAGTCTGGACACTCCAGGCCTGTGAAGCTCAGGCCAGTTCCCACCAACTGCATGGCCTCAAAGGTGGGGGAGTCCACACACAGAAAAATTTTCTAAGGTGGCAGATTTAAACTAGCAACAGTCAGTAACATTTGGACTGCCTACCTGATGGGGTCCCTGGATTCTCCAGCAAGCAGTGATCTCAGATGTCTCTTTTTGGAGGATGTCCTGGCAGTACCATTTATTCCATGTCTGTCTTCATAGGGAATAAGCACATGTGTGTAGGTTAGGGCTTGTACCCCCAACCATCAGCAACCATGACCCAGCCTCTCCTGACACTTGTTCCAAGGCAGAGAGGCAGATAAAACATTTGACAAAATTCAACACTAACTCATGATAAAAACTCAGCAATCTATTGTCCATCTATATGTCTTTTTTGGAAAAATGTCTATTTGTGTCTTCTGCCCATTTTTAATTGGATTATTCACTTTCTGGGTGTTGAGTTTTGTAAGTTCCTTATATATTTTGGATACTCACCCTTTATCAGATATGTCATTTGCATATATCTTTTCCCATTCCCTAGGTTGTCTTTTAGTTTTGTTGATTGTTTCTTCACTGTGCAGAAGATTTTTTATTTTAAGTCCCAATAGTTCATTTTTGCTTTTGTTTCCCTTGCCTCAGGAGACATATCTAGAAAGAAGTTGCTGTGGATGATGTCAAAAGAATGCAGACTGGTGCATCCCCTCTGGAAAACAGTATGGAGTTTCTGCAAAAAGTTGAAAATAGATCTACTGAATGATCCAGCAATTGCACTACTGGGTATTTACCCAATGAAATAAATACAATTAATAATACAATTAAAAGGGATATGTGCACTCCGATGTTTATAGCAGCATTATCTACAATAGTTAAATTATGGAAACATCCCAAGTGTCCACTGAGTAATGAATGGATAAAGAAGATTTGATGTATATATATTTGATATATATATATATATATATCACATGGAATACAATTGAATTTTACTCGGTTATAAAAAGGATGAAATCTTGCCATTTACAACAACATGGATGGAGGAGAGGGTATTATACTAGGGGAAAAAAGTCAGTCAGAGAAAGGAAAATATATGATTTCACTCATACGTGGAATTTAAGAAACAAAACAAATGAACAAAGAGGGGAAGAGAAAGAGGTAAACCAAGAAACGGACTCTTAACTATAGAAAACAAACTTATGGTTACCACAGGGGAGGTGGGTGTGGGGACAGGTGAAATAGGTGATGGGGATTAAGGGGTGCACTTGTGATGAGCACTGGTGTTGTATGGAAGTGTTGAATTACTATATTGTACACCTGAAACTAATATTACACCGTCTGTTGACTAACTAGAATTTAAATAAAAATTTTAAAAAACCTTCAGCAATCTAGGAATAAAGGAGAATTCCCTCAACTTACTAAAGAGCATCTACCACAACATATAGCTAACGTACTAATGGTGAGAAACTCAACGTTTTCTTACTATGATCAGGAACAAGGCAAGGACGTACCCTCTTATCATTGCTTTTCAACATAATATTGAGAGATTTTAACATTTTGGAAGATGGAAAGTGAATAGGGATGATAACTGACTTAGTAGAACGAAAGACTTAGATAATATAATTAGACAAGAAAAATATCCCAAATTCTCAGCAAGTTATTTTGTGGATACCAAGAAACATATCCTGAAGTATATATAGAGAGGTAAAAGGTCCAGAGAAGCCAGATCAGTATTGAAGGAGAAGAATAAAGTTAGAAGACTGACCCTATGACAACACCTCAAGACTTAAAAAGTTACAATGGTAAAGAATGTGTGGTACTTGTGAAAGAACAGAGAGATCAATGGAATAGAAGAGAGCCCAGAAAATGATCCACATCAATATAATCAATTGATCTTTGACAAAGAAGTGTAGACAACATAACAGAGCAATGACTGTCTCTTCCATAAATGGCATTGGTACAACAGAACATCCATCTGTAAAAATAAATAAATAGATTAACATAGAAATAGATAGATAAACAAAAAAAACCCAGACAAAGACCTTACACCCTTCACAAAATTACTTAAAACTGGAATATAGACCTAAAACTACAGGTATACCTCTTTGTATTGCACTCTGTAGCTATTATATTACTTTTTTTTTTTTTTTTTTTACATATCAGGGTTTGTGGTAACCCTGTACCACCAAGACTTTCAGTGCCATTGTCTTATAGCATTTGCTCACTTTGTGCTTTTGTGTGCCATTTTGTTAATGCTCACATTATTTCAAATGCTGCCATTGTTACTCTATTTGTTATGTTGACCTTTGATCAGTGACCTTTGATGTTACCATTGCTATTTTTTCAGGGCACCAGGATATAAGATGGTGAACTTAATGTTGTGAGTGTTGTAAGTGTTCCAGAGATTGGCTATTTCCCAGTCTCCTCCCTCTTCTCAGGCATTCCTATCCCTGAGACACAACAATATTAAAATAAGGGCAATGGAAAACCCAACAATGGCCTCTAAGTCTTGAAGTGAAAGGAGAGTCACTTTAAGTGAAAAGCTAGAAATGATTAAGCTTAGTGAGAAAGATATGTTGAAAGCTGAGATAGGCCAAAAGTTAGGCCTCCTGCTCCAAACGAATAGCCAAGGGATGAATGCAAAGGAAAAGTTCTTGAAGAACATTGCAAGTGCTACCTTCAGTGGGCACTTGGATTATAAGAAAGTGAAGCAGCTTTACTTCTGATATGGAGAAAGTTTGAGTGGTCTGGATAGAAGGTCAAATGGTCCAGAGATTCATTTAAGTAGCTTGACTGTGATATTCACTTTATTGTTGTGGTCTAGAACCAAACCTACACTGTCTCTGAAGTATGCCCGTAGAAAAGATTACAGCAAAGAATAATATGGAACCAGTCTGTTACTGAAGTGTGAGCTTATATCAGAAAATAAATGACAAAAATTAGAATAGAATTCCAACAAAGTGATTTGGACACAGAAACCCAATGGCAATTAGATTTATGGACCAAAGGTGGAAAAAATATGATCCTCCAGGAGCAGAGATTATGCAATTTGTATCATTTGCCACTGATACTAAAACTCAAGCAAAACCTTCGAACATGTAGAGAAAATAATACTCATTTACGAATATCTTTGTTTAACTGGGTAGCAGCAACCTGGATATTCAAATGGCCTATCCTGGTGTGCCTATGTGGCTCAGTTGATTAAGCAACTGACTTTTGATTTTGGCTCAGATAATGACTTCACAGTTCATGGGCTTGAGCCCTGTAGTGGGCTCTGTGTTGACAGCATGGAGCCTGCTTGGGATTCTCTCTCTCTCCCTCTCTCTCTGTCTCTCCCCGACTTGTGCTCTCACTTGCTTTCTCTCTCTTTCAATATAAATTAAGCATTAAAAAATAATAAATGCCCTATACCTAATATATTATCCCTTAAAACGTCTGCATGGAAAACAGCAGTGGAAACTACTAATACAATAATGAAATTACAAGTATTAACTATAACCTATAACACAGGCCAGACACCCTTTCTTCTACTTCTAGAAGCAACTGAACAAATTAAAAAATCATCTGAAAAGCTGTGACCACAGAGGACAGACAGCATTATTTATAGTATTTTCAGGTGACAGAACACAAGAGAACTGATCGACCTGATAAGAATTACTGAGGAAATAAAATAACACTCATGTATAAGACAAAACAGGCCTACACCTAATGGAGATAGACCCAATCAAAAGAGACCATGGAGACCTAACTCTTCAAGGCCTACTGGCCACCTAAATCTTTAGACTACCACTCTGTAGAACAAAATAAAACAATAGAAACCCCAAAAGAACTCCCAGAAACGACTTATGGTGGCAGAAAAACAGAAACAACCAACCTTTTAGAGTAAATACCCCTACAGAAAAGAAACCTACATATAGATCCCACTAAATTATCTGCTTTAAATACTAGCTATTTATAAAACATAATCCTATTAATGGAAAAGCCACTGATACCCAAACAGGAGGAAACCCCATGAGGTCTCAAAAGGGAATTGGCAGTCACCATCTTCTGGCCTAAGTTAGAGGCAAACACACTTGTGCTCTGCTGCCCACATCAATAAAAATCCCTTTTATAAATAAAAATACTTCATGTAACACTATGTTTTCAGGTACAGGGTCCCAGATAATGGTGATACAAGTATATGCTACGGATTTAGAAAACTTTACCAATTAAAAGGGATGAACGGAAGGGTTAGGAGGAAAATTAAGCCCAGGGACATGGGAATGTAGATTCCTAACAAGTGATGATAGATTACCCATAAGGCCAAGTGCCTTAGAGGTCTCTATTGAGAAAACATTCTTTGAATGGATGTTAATAGGGCATACTTAAGAAAAAAATTTTTAAAGACTCTTACAGTAACAAGTTATTATGCTCACTATTTTCAACATGTAATAATTCAATCTGGTTTATTAAAATGCCAGACAGGTTTAAAAGATTTACTATAGATTATAGGAATCTAAACAAACCAAAAATCAAAGTGGTACTCCTATGTTACAGGCACCATCATAATCAGTATCCCCACTGGATCTGGAACTTATTATGTAGTGATAGACTTATCTGACATGTTCTTTGTTATTCCAGTTGATGCAGAAAGCCAACCCATTACTGTATTCATATGGGCAGGCAGACAATATCAGTTTGCTAGGTTACCATAAGGATACCATAACAGCCCTGTAATACCCCATGATATACTTACACAAGACATCCAGGCCTTTCATAAAAACACTACAAACTACTATTCCCTGAGTTGATGACATCCTTATATATAATGATAACGTAGAAGAACAGACTAGTGTTAAATACAATTAATGGAATTCCTTACAGAGAATGGGCAGTCAACCCATATAAGGGCCAAGGACACCACACTACAGTGAAGTTTCTATGCATAATTTGGTTTTCTGAAGGCATAAAAATACCAAACCACGTCATAAACAACATAGGTTGCATACCAACTCTTACCACAAAGGAAGATGGCCAGGAACAGATAGACTGACAGGAAGTAGCACAAACCGCATATGGAGATAAGCTTAAAACACATTTATGAAATAACTATGAAGAGTAGGGAACTTACAATGAACTGAGACTCAAGAGGCAGCCTCTAATTACTTGAAAAGTGCTATCAGAATGTGTAATACATTGGCACCAGCTAATTACTCTGTATATATGCTAGAGCGCCTATACAGATGAGGGTTTGCAATATAGTCACTGTGGACTAAAGCACTATAGGACCCCAGATCTTACCTGAATGGGTTTTGGACTAAGAAGTTCTCATGTTCTTCTTCTTCTTCTTTTTTTAATGTTTATGTATTTATTTTGAGAAAGAGAGAGATAAAGCATGAGCAGGGAAGGGACAGAGAGAGAGGGAGGGAAAGAGAATCCCAAGCCGGCTCCCCACTACCAGGGCATAGCCTGACACTGGGTTTGATCTCACAAATTGTGAGATTGTGACCTGAGTCGAACTCAAAAGTTGGATGCTCAACCGACTAA